AGTTAATAGGCGAGCGGTATACATACATACATAGCAGGGATGTTGCGAATGTGGAATTTTAGACATCCGCGGATGCGAATGCGGATGCGGATGTTTAAAAGCTAACATATTTTTAAGAAATAATTTTGGTGGTACATTAGGGGATTTACGTAAATAAAAAATGGAAAAGTTATTAATTTTTAATAATATTTTTTTTATTTAGTACTTCAAATAAAAAAATTGGAACATTGGATTTAAGAAAGAGTAATTTTGCTGCCTTTTCGGATTACAGCCTGTTTCCTAACGGGTCGTAAAACAAACCTGCGCCACTAAATAACTACTCGCTCGAGGCGACAAACTTGAAAAACTTGAAACTTGACAAAATTGTAAATTCTTTTCGATTGACGCTGCACCTGTTGAAAGGACTTTCAGTTATATTTCTTTTTTTTTATTGCGGTGCAACAATTCCTTTTTGGGAATTGCATCTTCTTCTTCTTCTTCTTTTTTGGCGCTGTAACCGCCTAAGCGATTTTGGCCGAGTTCAGCAAAGCACGCCAGTCGTTTCTCCTCTGTGCCAACTGACGCCAATTGGAAACGCCAAGTGAAGCCAAGTCCTTCTCCACCTGATCTTTCCATCGCAGTGGGGGTCTCCCTCTTCCTCTGCTACCACCAGCGGGTTCCGAATTGAATACTTTCAGAGCTGGAGCGTCGGTGTCCATTCGAACGACATGACCAAGCCAGCGGAGCCGCTGTATTTTAATTCGCTGCACTATGTCCATATCGTTGTAAAACTCATACAGCTCATCGTTCCATCGTCTGCGGTACTCGCCGTCGCCAACGCGTAAAGGACCGTAAATCTTCCGCAAAATCTTTCTCTCAAACACCCCAAGAGCCGCCTCATCGGATGTTGTCATTGTCCATGCTTCTGCGCCATATACCAGCACGGGCATGATGAGTGACTTATAGAGCGTGGTTTTCGTACGTCGAGAGAGGACTTTACTCCTGAATTGCCTACTCAGTCCAAAGTAGCACTTGTTGGCAAGAGTGATTCTACGTTGGATTTCAATGCTGACATTATTATCGGTGTTAATGCTGGTTCCCAAGTAAACGAAATTCTCTACTTTCTCGAAATTGTAACTGTCAACAGTGACGTGGGTGCCAAGGCGCGAATGTGCTGACTGTTTGTTTGATGACAGGAGATACTTCGTCTTGTCCTCGTTTACCACCAGACCCATGCGCTTTGCTTCCCTATCCAACTTGGAAAAGGCAGAACAGACTTCGCGGTTTTTGTTACCGATGATGTCGATGTCATCGGCATAAGCCAGCAATTGCACGCTCTTGTAGTAAATTGTTCCTGAGCGGTTCAGTTCTGCAGCTCTTATTACCTTCTCCAACATCAGATTAAAGAAGTCACATGAAAGGGAGTCGCCCTGTCTGAAACCCCGTTTTGTGGCGAACGGCTCGGAGAGGTCTTTTCCAATTCTGACGGAGCTGGTGGTATTGCTCAACGTCATTTTACACAGCCGTATGAGTTTTGAGGGGATGCCAAATTCAGACATAGCGGCGTATAGGCAACTCCTTTTAGTGCTGTCAAAAGCGGCTTTGAAGTCGACAAATAGGTGGTGAGTGTCGATCCTTTTCTCGCGGGTCTTTTCCAAGATTTGGCGTATTGTGAATACCTGGTCTATGGTGGATTTGCCAGGTCTAAAGCCACACTGATAAGGCCCAATCAGTTTATTGACGGTGGGCTTCAGTCTTTCACACAATACGCTCGATAAGACTTTGTAACCTATGCTTAGAAGGCTGATCCCGCGGTAGTTGGCGCGAATGGCGGGGTCACCTTTCTTGTGGATTGGGCAGAGCACACTTAAATTCCAGTCGTCGGGCATGCGTTCATCTGACCATATTCTGCACAAGAGTTGATGCATGCACCTTATCAACTCCTCGCCGCCGTACTTGAATAGCTCAGCTGGCAGGCTGTCAGCTCCAGCGGCTTTGTTGTTTTTCAGCCGCGTTATTGCTATACGTACCTCGTCATAGTCAGGCGGTGGAACGTCGACTCCGTCATCATCGACTGCGGGCTCGGGTTCTTCTTCTCCACAACTTTCTGTG